GGTCTGATTCCGACCTGCCACAGCAAAGAATCAGAACTAACTCATTTGGATTCAAAATACTAGCTAAGCCATATTTGTAGAATTCGATTCCAAGCGAAAATACATCTAGCCTGAAAGCTAGAATAATCACGGAATAAAACTACCGAATCAACTTCCTCTTCACAGTTAATTGAGGAATGTCGATAAGTTCACCGATGTTAGAAGAAACTGGACTGCAAACTTACTCTTCATCTGCAAAGAAAATAACCAAAAATGAACCAAATATTACCCCAAGACAAGAAAGATGCATGGCAATTTCCAAGAAAATCTAATACGGAATGGATCGGTATGACAAACACTACAGTCAATACCCAACTGGCAAGACATATGGGGGTCCACCACCTCGAATTTGGGTTTTGTACTCAGCAAAAGGCAACTTACCACTCGGTAAGGAAGCTCCCTCCTCAACACCTTTCGCTATTTTCCATTCATCATCCTGTTTGTCCTCTTCGACCTCATGATCACCATCTTCTATGAAGTCCTCATTGGCTTGCGCTGCACTGGGCTAAAAAGCATTCGAGTTATTGCAAAATAATCTATCTAATTTAGTTCAAACTATTAAAGAATGATCAAAATGGCCACCTCCTCGATGTGTTCCGTCTTTCCTCCTTCTAGTGGAGGCATCTCAATATCAGACTCCGAGTCTGCAGACTTATTTAGCATCTGTTTCTCGGCCTCTTCCAGAGCGCGCTTTTCGGCCTCTTCGGCCTGGCGTTTGGCTTCCTCTGCGAGTTCAACAGCCTTCTATAAATTCGTACAAAAAGGAAGAGGGTACAACCGAAAAAAGGAGAACACCATTCACCCCAAACTTCCTAAAACGCTTAGCACTTATGTCAAAGTTATTACCCGATAACAATAATAGATGAATAAACAAAATGTGGATTCACTTCATTAAGATGGCATGACAAAACTTACCCTTGTAACGTACTCTTGGTAGATTTGATGACCACTTTCGATTTCTTTGCGCCTTTTCTGAACCTGTTCTTCCCTTTCCTTAGCTAATGCCCTAGATTGCATCAAGGCGTAACGTTTATGAAGGAGAGCAGCAATAATAAGGTTGGCTAATATCCCTACCCACAAGTGTTATCGCACTTAACAAGCCCAAGGTATTCATCTGACCCGTCACAGCAGTCTAGAGTCCAAGCGTTTTGTAAAGTTCGGCGTACTTACCACATACCATATCATTAACGAAACTTGAATGGATGAAGACACCTTCGTGGTCGACATTCGGACAGTAGAACTCCATATCAGGGCATGCAGATGTACCGGGCTCATCAGACCCATCAAGGCAATCGCAATAATCATCGTTCACTCTATCCCAAGGTATGGTTGCAGACTTATCCAAGCAAGTAAACGGTTTGAAGGGTTCATAAAAGACGCTATCTAACAGTACATGAGCAAAGACAGTATTCTCACTTGACGGATGCACACCAGTTGGCACCTCAGAAGCCCGAAGCATAGCCAAGAGAAAAATCCAAATAGAAAACGTCTGACGCCCCATTGCAGGAGCAAGTGAACCAACAGGCGAACTGACGATCAACAGAGGAGCTTGTCATTGGTCAGAAAAAACCTATTTGGGATTGAACAGAAAAGGGGAGAGTAACACGTCATCGTTACAGCAATGGAGCGATTGTAAACTATTCGGCAAGGCGAAATTGACCCAAATAAGGAATTCATTTCGAAAGTTAGGAATACAAAATACCTTGCAAAGGAATTAAAAGAGTGATTAAATTTTTGTTACTAATGTTAAGGAATCCTGACTTACTGAAAACGGAAAAGCCACTATCATTAAAAATGTCATAATGTTGAAGCGAAAAAAAATAATCGTTGAGAGGCAAACGACGCTCTAATCGATCACAATTCCCTTTTTAAGCTTAAACGATGCAGCGTCTACATATGTTCCTAATTGTTCATTGAAGCATACCACTTAAGCGTAACATTTGTTTTGAACAGCAACAATGAAGTTAATGGCAATGTTTTCATCCGACGCTTACTTGTCAAAAGTAAGTATTATTTGCGTATAAAACATTTTTCAACAAGTTCAAAATTTATACACAAAGTTAGCCTAAATTTGCACCTAAATTCAAAGTCACTGTCAGTTACCATGCTATAAATTTTTTTATTGACCTGTTGTTATACCTTAGTTGCAATTTTTTAGATATTCTGCTAAGTAAAACAATCTTCAAGGTTAAAGTCTAGCTTCAAGCGGAATTTTGAATGCAGCATCTATAGCGGTTGTGGGTTCCACTGCGTTACTGACTACTTCTATCAGTCCAAATGAGTAAAAAGGGAGATAAGGTTGTCTCTCGTGTTTTTTAATTCTTTTTTACTAGAAGAAGGATCATGACGACCATGATGAGAGACTTGCCGAATATAGGGAATCGTTTGATCTGTTCGACAAGGATAAAAACGGCAGAATTTCAACTAAAGAACTTAAGGCAGTAATGAGCTCACTGGGCCAAAATGTTACCGATGCGGAAGTTCAACAAATGATTCGCCAAGTTGACTTAAATCGTAAACGTTTTCATGCATCCCATGCCTGTTTTAAGATGACGGTGAGATTGACTTTGGTGAATTCGTGAAGATGATGAATACCTGCAAACCGACGAGTGATCTGGAGAGGCTGCAAGATGCTTTTAGAGTGTTTGACAAGGATGGGAACGGATATATTACTGTTGACGAAATGCGGTAATTTTTATGGCATCCATGTGTTTTGAATCGAAAATCTAATTTTGCCTTTTAATCAGTGTTATGGGCCTCGCACTTTAATCACTTTTTGTGTGAATCTTTTAAAGCCAGGTGATGTTTAATTTGGGTGAAAAGTTGACGGATGAGGAAGTTAAGGATATGATCAAGTCGGCCGATATTGACGGTGACGGTCAAGTTAACTTTGAAGGTACGTCTAAAATAATACGATTTTCAATCATTAATGCGTAGTATCCTGTGCTCAAAACATTTAACTTTACGACAGTTTCTGCAAGTTTTTACCACTACGCTTTTGTACAACCACTAGTAGAGGCAACAACAAATTTGTGACAACCATTTAGCTGGGCGGT